TATGCGGGTGCAAGTGACCTTGGAGACAGCTGTGACTGGCTGCACCCCGGTACCGGCATGTGTTGCAGCACGATCTATTATAACCAGACGAAACAGTCTACCTAACCTGTTCTGGAGAAAGTCCCTGTACCAAAACAATCTCGATCCCCATTCCCATGGACATTATGTTTGCTTAACACATCCGCCGTTAATCAAACAACCTTTAGGAAGCGGTTGACCTAAGGCGCAACCATCTACCAACTCACTTCTCCTTTAAATTAGAGATGTGACCAAATGAGTGCAGTTTCAAGAGTGATAATATTAAGCAGTTCAATGATAAGCTTTCATCTCTGGGAATGTCTAAACTATCTCCGTTACCAGCATTGTACCACGTCCGGATCCCGGGCACATTTCGGGTCAGTGAAGCACTGTATGGAAGATATCACGTGCTCCACGTCTTCCAACTTCACTGTTTCCGACCCACTCACTTCCAGCTGGAACGGTCACGAAGAGAAACGTTCACGGTTTTGGGTTCCACTTCTCGCTCTAACAACCATCTCCTCCGCTCTTCTAACACCTATTCCCGCCGACCTCCTCAACTATCCTTTGTACAAATTGCTTGCACAATAACTATCACTTATTTTTTTCATAATTATTGATCTGAAATTCTCAGATCTCGTGATCTTTTTGTACCGTTTTTCCACAATTTCGTTTATATGAGAGTACAAATCAGTTATTATTATTGCTTTTTACTATTAGTAATTTCATTTTAATAGCTCCTTCAAAAGCACGAATTGTCTAAGTGAGATGTTTCTCACGCTGTTGTATTTCGAGATGGAACTGCGAGCATTGACAGTAACAGGGAAGGAGTGTGAATACCGATAATAATAACAGGCGAAAGTGTGAGTGATCAGGGATTTTGGAATGAAAATAAAACGGACATTAGTTCCAATTCACAATAACAAATTCTCCATCATACATCACGGTGACAGAGGTTGACAATTCAAGAGGGAAAGGGGGGCTATAATGTACGCTATAGGTTGGCTCAGGCTGGCACCCGAAAATTCTGCTGCTCTTGCTGCTATTGCTGCTGCTGCCACTGCCGCTTCTGCTGTTGCAGTAGAAGTAGAAATAGTTAATAGCTATTGTCGTACTATTTCCACCTTGGTTCTATCTGTCTCCTTGAAGGTTCAGTTGAAATGAGGAGACTTTTAAAGCTTGAAATCTATGATAGTGCTTTTCAACCGTTATTTGATAAAGTCACTTCGAGACTGAAAGTCTCATCGGAGAAGCTTCTTTTTCATATTTACAGTTATCCTAGCTTATTGGCTTGTGGCTCGTTTGCTTGTTGGAATATTACATGTGAAGACAATAAAAAAAGATGCTTTTCTTTGTTATTCGTTACTTTCTGTTGAATTTTAACTGTCTCACAATGTTTTATGACCAAAATTGCAACAAACCCATCCTTGCTTCCCATCATCCATTTGATCTGCCCACTCGTCTCTATTAGAATTTCATATTCATTCATTTCTCTTTCCATGTTAGCCTATTGCTTTAACATTGTCGAACCGATGGAAAACTTACTGGGAGAAAGCAAATATTTGAAAGTCAATTTTTCAGATTCACATTGTTTGTCTCAACAACTTTTGATTAGAAGGAAATCAAATAATGCCTGCAAAAGTGCACTGCGGCGGTTTGTTTTTGGGCAACACAATTCAGGAAAAAACTCGAACTTTGCTCGATTGGAGTGATGAGGTTCATTTTTCTTCTCCTTTAATATGAGGTTCGGGAAAGGAAGCACGGGCTATTCACTTGGAATGAGTTAAAAAGCCAAGTTAGAGGGACCATTTAAGTATATTTCATTTTTGAATACAGCATGCATGCATTTTACGCAGCGATCCTTTGACAGTGCGGATTTCAGCGCACATTTGTTCTTCCACTTCTATGTATTTTCTCGGGAATAACATGTTTGTAGTGTGGGATTTTCACCTGTAAAGTGGAGGCGTACATTGCTGATTTCAGCACACCATACCTTTCAGCTTGTAATAACACAGGTCCATCTCCAGAAGTAAGAATAACACTTACCTTATTCAACATTTTAAGATGGGAATTTTTGATAGCACGGAAGATCGACCTGTCTAACACTTACCACATTATGACAAATGCTTCGTGACAGTTCTGAAATGAAAAGAAGGCCTAACAATGGAAGATTCTGAGGACATGAAGTCCTATCATCCTCTTCTACTCTGAAAGTTACGCAATCGAACTTCTCCATACTATGATAGGCACTTTCTACTTTCCTCTCATCACTGTCATTCTCTTCCCTCTCTTCAAATTTTTTCAATAACTAATTTCTCCTCATGTCTCCTTTTCTCTGTTCGCGCACACCTCTCGAAAGGATAATGCCTATAAAAGTGACAAATATTGCTGTCTGTAATCGACAATCGGTGTGGTGGTACAAATGCCATCGGTGACAACAGCAGCAACAATTGATAATCGAGAACGATTTAGGTTGAGCCAACCATCTTTTCAGTGTAACTTTGATAATCTGTCCATGCTAATTTTCAAAATCTAAATACATTCTGCATGATATCAAAGGTTATTCTGTGACATTTTTCAACAAATTTGGAAAATTTACAGATCTTATGTTATTGTAGCCAGCAAAAAAGCCCAATGTTACCATTGTTACCTTCCTCGGTATCGATTTTATACTTCAGTAAGGCCATTTCATTTTCAGCGTTGTTCCACGATTACAGTGAACGCTACAGAGAAATCCCTCAGCAGACGCATACTCCATGTAAATAATTCACGTGGTCATCCGTACATGATTCCGATCGGGCGTTTACGGCGCTACAGTACCAGTTCAAGTTCAACGTGTAGTAGCAGCAGCAGTGAATATTCGCAACCATCGCCAAGTTACAGCATTACTTCTTACGAATCGCTGAGTCCGGAACCTCTCGTTTCTCCTTATGTCACAGCTGACTCTCAATCACCCCATTTAGTACCGCTAGGTCCAACAATACCAACAACAGTAACAGCATCTACCACTTATCGGTCGCCGGAACGAGAAGCACAAGTTTTCGAAAGACTGCGACAGCTGGTACCAATGTTGCCCTTTGACAGAAGTGCTTATCAGGTTAGCTGAAAATTTTCTTGACTTGATATCTGTTTCATCCGAACCGGATGGATCGTTGCGTCGTTGTAGATGGAATTTCTGAACCGCGCGGTAAAAATCCCTCGGAAAATGATACTGGTGCTCGTGCACTACTCTTGCGCTATTGCCTTCCATATCGTTATTGTACGACTCGATACCTGTGAGGCAGCTTGAATTTGAAAGTTCATCAACAGCAGAGTGACAGGATAGTTGGATAGCAAGTGGTAACTGCAAGATAATTGATATTCGCAGGGTAGAACTGTATCTTCCAACAACATCCCTCTATTCTGAATCGGTAAATTAATTGGTAACTCGCAGAATGGCAGGAAATGGCCGCAAGCAACGATCTCCTCTCAGTCGGCATGCTAATTGTCTGATTGCAGGTACTGATAGAGACAGTTTCGCAAGTGATGGATTTGGAGCAGCAACTTGAACAACTGAACGAGCAGACAAACAGTGCCAAAAACAGTCTATGGGTTGAGCAAGAAAGTCTCCTTTCAGATGCTGAAAATGTTAGTGGGCTGTCTGGATTTCATAGAATTGTCCCCATAGGCTTAACGCTCCTGCCTTGGAAGCCCTACCTGTTTTGTAGACTTTCAGATGTTGAAAAGTATAGAGGAAATGGTTTGTAATTACATTTTTGTTGCTCATTCTTTTAAATTTCATACACCACCTGTCCTTGATCCTTGAGTAATATGCCAATAGCAAAGTATGAGCATGAGGAAGGAGAATATTATTAGGATTAAAGAAGCCAACAGTTGGTTGGCCCGTTAACGAACTTCAAAAAGACTTGAGTTCAAATGTATCTCCTTACACCTTCAAGATATTGATGTGAAGCCCAATAGCTGAGTTCAGATTTTCTATCTTCATCAGAACCAATAATCATATCACGAAATTGAACTCCTCCATTGCAGAGTGTCTTTCCGGATGATTTGAAAAGTGTGGATGTGACAGCATTCAAGCGTCTTCTTTGTTCCAGTCCTCTCTCCGGCGATACTTCGAAAACAGTGCACTTCAATTTTGTCTCATAAGGTGTACATTTCTATTGAGCTGAATGCAATTGTTCTAATCAACTACTGCCTTAATTTCAAACTGCACAATTTGTTTATGTTCGAATGTTTTTTGGAGATGAATTCTTCAAGTATCTGTGTGCCCAACAAACTGATCACGCTTATTTGGCCAGAGAAATGCTATTGAGCAAGCAGTTCTCAACTTCTCTTACTTAGTTTTTCTCCGCTTTAAATCAAGCATGTGAATCATTCCTTGTTAAAAAACGAAAATAAATTTTGCGTGCTGCGCAACGAGACATCCACTTCCATCCTAAGACATTGGCTTATTTTTCCACTCTGACAAAATTCCATATTTAAGTGTTTAAAAGTTTTAATACCAAATAAAATTTGGTGTTACCGCAGGCTGCACGTAAAAACTAGGAGAAGAGCCCTGTGATGTCAGTTCAAAGCAGTATTCAAGCAAGATTTTTCACTCAACATTATCTAACCTAGCTGTGACGTCTCTTCTTAGAAGCCCTGAAGAGTAAGGAAATGAGTAGAATGCTTGTTCCTTCAAAATTCCGTATCAGTTGTGTTCAGGTGAATACATAACTTCAAAGTTGCCATTCCATAACCTTTGTCAGTTCTTTTGTATATGTGTTGTACTAATTGCTCACATTCCATGCATAAAATAATAATTCATCATCGCGCTTCCAGTACAATTCATTCGGACTAAATTTCATTTCAAAAAATCTGATGCGACGGTATTTGTAGGGAAAGGAAGTGTTCTATATTTCTCCTAATGATTAGAATAACCGCTACAGAAGCGGTGACAATTTCCACAAAGTGTTTTTAAACTTTGTTCGAAACCGAGGGGAGAAACTGTCTCGAGTGACCTGCAGAAATCTCACACTTCGCGGTTCACTCTCTAATTGAATGAGATCTGTTCCCACACATATCTGTCTACATCTATTGTCACATTCTGATGGATCCGGCTGACACTGTCTACCTCATTTACGACCCTGTTGCTCTAGCTAGAACACTTGTTCCGGACGTCAAAGTTCGAGGCATCATGTATTGTAACATCTTTGTAGCACGACTGCTTCTCCATAACTTCTCCAGAAATTAGTAATCATAAGGATATTTGTAATAATTCAGGCCCTAGATTTTTTACTATTTAGTTCACTTGATCTTCTCCGGGAAAATGTACGGAGGAAAATGTTTATTCGATTTAATATTTCAAGTAAAGACCAGAGCCGTAGCAGTTCAAACAAATGGTGCAATATATTGGTAACCAATGATCGTTATCATTATCGTTATTGATGTGACAGGTGCTGTCATTACGGCCAAACGTGATGACGAGGCGATCCGGTTTCTTCGGGAAGAATTATGCAATTGATGGATGAAAATGGCACGAGGTGACACCATTCCTGTGCAAAAATTACATTCTTGTCTGCTGATCGAACCACATCTCTCTATTACTTTTGTATGCCTTTATGAAACTTGTACAAAGGGGTTTTTCTTTCTTCGGTATGAAAAATCAGTTTCCGTACTGAATGTCTAATGACTAAGGCTGCACAAGGGAAGTGAAAAATAGAATAGCGGCACATTGCTGACTACTGTTTGAGGGACCGACAGTTTCGTTAAAAAAAGGAGCAGTTTTGGGCTTAATGAGTTAGCTCTCATTGAGAACAGTGATGCAAGCAAATTCAATCCAAACTTGGTCCCTTACAGTACCAAATTGTGTCACGTACTGACATTCAAATTACAATCATCATTCCGCCTCGTGCATATCGAAATAATGTATGTTTACCTTGTGTTTAGCAGTGCAGAAGTGAATATCAAAGTGAACCAGCAGATTGCTGCTCCTCACGAGTGAAGAAAGATCGTCGTTGCTGGCGTAGGGCTGATACTGCTGTTGGCAGTACAGGTGTAGACAGTGGTACCGCACCTGTTAAAGACTGCTGTGGCTGTTTTTGCTGATCTTTCACTTCTATCATTTCACGTTCCTTCAGATCAACAACTTCCGCCACATCTCTCACACATTCCTCTTTGACAGCCCTCTCGCACTCCGCATCCGACGATATGCTCCTCGTCGTAGACCGCGTCGATGTCAAATCTTCATCCCAGTCAAACCGTGAATTAAGCCGTAATTTCCATTCTTTTTTAATCTGAAGTTTACAAAGGCTTTTATGAGCAGTGCAACAAGCAGTAGAAGAATGTCATGTCAACAGATCATAACACACTCACATCCATTAGCACATCCTCAAATTCGTTGTACTTCGGACTATCCTCGAACACCAATCCATCAACCATTCCCATCAATGTTTCATATTGCTTCGGACATTGATGGAAAAATTGTGTGCGACCCGCGTCACGAGCCATCAACTTGGCTGCTTGCACACCAGCACGTTCTGTATAAATTGACAGTCACATATCGTGGTGATTGGATAAAAACGACTTGTCTCTGGCAGAACAGCTACAGAGTTATTATTTTGCAGTCGAGAATGATATCGTTTACCGGAAACGTGTCGCCACGGTAAAGAACCACGAGTGATCTCGACAAGCAGATAAAACCACGACTCCAGATCATCTCTCCTCGCCAAATCCAGCCTCAGATGTGCTTTCAACGAGCCGTACCGTGTTGTGCCTCGCCATCCCACTTCGCCACGTGACGGAAGTAATTTTCCGTTCTATGAAACTCAGAAGGAACAGAAGAACAACAAGAAAAAAGACTGCTTGGAATGGATTGCATATCACACCTGTTCAATCTTACCTTATCAACATACTTCTTTGCAAGCCCGAAATCAATCAAAAATATCGTCTTGTGTTGTTGATTTTCACGTAACCCAACCATGAAATTACCAGGTTTGATGTCACGTGATATAAAATGACTCCTGCAATGAAAGACTTAACAACACCGTTCTTCTATCTCTCGCATTTTTTTCGTGAGATGGGAACAGTGATAGTCAATGGCAACTTAGAAGGCTGAGAAGCTAGACTGCAGTTCTAGGACGACAACTAACAGATGTAATTCCTCAATAGCCTTCAGCGTCTGCAGGCCTACTTGTACCGCAGTACAAAGCGAGAAGCGTCTGTTGATTTGCTCATTGCGCAATTTGTGCAGGTCTTTTCCCAGCAATGGTATCACAATGAAAATATAGTCCGGTTTCTCGGAACCCTGAATAATTCAAAGTTACAAGAGTTTAAAGTCACTTTTTACATAAATAAACCAGAATCTCGTAACAGTCAAATTCACTGTAACCCTCGGACAACTTAGATGGACGTTCGATCAATCTGTAGCCATCCACAGTTCAATCCAATAATGAGGCTAATGGCCAGTGTTAACGAGTAATATTTTTGAATGGTGCTAAACTTCGACATATATTACGAATCAGTGCATCGTTCACAGACTTTGAATTTATGAAAATTCTTTACAATTTCTAAAACAGATTCGTTAAAGCTTACGTAATCGATCAGCTCGCAAATATGTTCGCTATGTCTCCGCGCTGCAGCGCGCATCACACTTGCTTCAATGTGCAGCATTGATTTACTGTATTTCTCGGCTTTCACGGCTACACGACGTCTACAATATTATCACTCCTCTTATGATCAGGACTGTTCAAATTCAAAACATTCATGAAAGACACTCGGACTAGAATAGAAGGATCGGGAAGTGGGACAGAACTGAGTGAGGACGGTCAGCAAAAGCACTAGGCTAATATAGTACCTCATTTCTTCGTTCAAAAAATGAATTAACTGCGCGGAAAAGACAAATAGTGCCCTTGTTCTGTAAAAAAAATATTTGCGGCAGAATTATAAATGGCGGCGCATCAGCTGGCATGATAATTTACATATAACAGGTCAAAAGTTGCATGAACTTGGACATGACCGGCTTCACTTCATCAGGAACAGCACATAACGAAAATCACAAGATGAACAAGTTGGAACAATAAAATAACCACTGAATCCGTTCTTCAGAATCAAGACACTTCAAGCATTTTCCTCTCACCCTTCTAGCGAAGCTATCTCTCTCCAATGAACTGCTTCCTTGTCCATTTTATTTCCAGCAAACTCTTTGCCATTCACTCCTGATAAAGTCTACTCATAACAATCATTTAACAAACTGCAACAGTGTCAAACCAGATGTGCTATCCATCGTTCCACTCAGGAATCATGGGATTCTACTTGATAGCGTCAGCTGCATCCATTAACAGGATTCGGTTCACCAATAAAGTGGTTGATGAAAGCAAAAACCTTCACGAAATATGTGAATTTAGCTAAAGTACATTTTCCACAATTATCCGACGATACAAGAACTTCAGGTAGTGTCGTCATATTTTACACTCTCGACCGTTCTGAGAAATAGCAATATATGCAGCATTATTTGAAGTCATTTTCCATTTCTTATTTTTACTGAGTTTTGAAATAACTTTCAAGTATATGTATGTTTGTGACTTTCAGCAACTGATGAATTTTCCAGAAGAGATAAATAACTGAACCGGTCAATCATTTTAAGTATTGACTCGAAAAAGCGATTCGTTGCACAGTTGCGCACACCGGTGGCAACAAAGGGAACGTGTCGTGTAGTGCGGAAGTTTGTGCTGCGCATGTGACACGCGAGGGAGCATGCATGCTTACAATATTGTATGTAATACAACTGGCCACCACTGCTGCTATGGTAATATATTGTTAATAGGCCGACATGTGTTATGTTGCCAAGCAGGGAAGGTACTTCAAGGAGAATTAAATGTTCTGTGAACGTCTCTCCGAGATATCGCACCGCGTAAAGTGATCAAGAATGAGTTCACTTAATCTAGGCTGGAGAAGTCACCAACTGGACGTTTCTACAATTGCCCTCAATTATGGTTGGAGATTTCTTATAATATTGGAAAAAACTTAACTAACCCATCGTCGGTTTCACTCTCGTAAACGGTACCATAGCCACCTTCACCGATAACTTTATACAACTGATAAGTGTGTAGGTCAGTTTTCACTAATTCTTTCAGTCTCGGTAACCGATCCTTCTCGGTGGAGCATGCAGCAGCCGATGGTTGATGTGATGGAGGTGGAGGCGGCGCAGGCGGTATGGACGTCACACCGACCGCCATTAACAGGAGACTCGGGATTTGCACTCAATGATTATTGCGCGGAATGATACCAAAGGTCAGACAGAAGCTTGCATTAACCGGAAAGCACTCGCGCTATCCAATCATAGTAAAATAAAACAATGAATTTTCCGAAGGAAATCTCACCTCTTAACGGAATTCCTACATAACTTCTAAGCACCTCAAAATTTGCATCAGGAATATTATATTTAAAACATTTACAAATCGAAATTCTACTTCTCTTCAAAAGTGCCTCATTGGTGTCAGGTCGTCTGTCTTGCAATCATATCGTTAAGATGAGGAAAAGTGCAATCAAACAATGCCAGATGAACTGGAATCTATGACGAAACCTTCGAAGAGCGAACAAATGATCATATGCGAGAACGACGATTGATCTCTAGCACTGCGGCCACCGCCAACTGTAGTAATTGTATTGTCTTGAAAAGGAAAAATTCAGCATCCACCAAGTAGTGGCAGCATATAAATGCCGTATTCAGCCGACTTAAAGATGGAAGATGAAGAGAATAAATTTGCTTTCCACTTCATAAATTACAGCAAGGCGATGAAAGGAATACATAGTAAGGAACATATTTTATTCAACCAAATTCACTTTTTATTCGGAACTTTTTTGAGAAAAATATTGGGACTTTTCGCATTTGTCACCAAATTCTCTCTTCCAAGGCTGATTACAATCATATGCAAAGCAAATAAGATTTGAGAAAGAACTGCAACATCTTCGACGGTAATTTCATCGAAAGTATTTCCAAACGAAATTAATTATTTTTATTAGCACCTGTAGGTATAAACCAATAAAACATTTGTGAAATTTACAAACAAAATTTAGTTATTGCTATAATTACTGCTTTTTCTCTTACGCTTTCGATTCCGGTGCTGCGGAAATGACGGCATCATGCTTGCATCACATGGATATGGAGGTTCATTGAAATATCTGAAAATTTAAAAATTTTTTCAAGGGTTACCATAATCACTCCCTTTATAATGATCATTGTCTCAAAAACCTCAGCTACTTTAAAATCAATTAAAAATATGTAGTTGCTAATTTCGATATTTGCAAAAAACAATTGGAATTTTCGGGACTTAATTCTATACCGCGAGCGCAGTGCATCTTTCGCACAAATCCTGAGAGATGGATCAAAAGTGAAGAGTCCATTTAAAAGTTGCAGGCAACTATCACTAGCGCGTTCCATCACACACTTCAACTTATTGTACGGCTGGGAGCGTAACTGGAAATTACGGAAAGCTGGTAATTCTTCGATTCCTTTCCATATCTTTTCGGTTGGAGTTCCAAGCAAATCGATTATTTTGTTAATCTAAATTGTATGTAAATTCAATGCATTTCTGATAAGCATTGATCAAAAATATGTAATTATTGATTGAGAGCGCAATATAAACTACTTGATCAAGCTCGGTTTTCCCTGGCAAAAGAGGTCGATGGATAAGTAATTCTCCAAGAATGCATCCTGCTGCCCACATATCAACACCTGTACTTTGTTCTTTTGCACCAAATAATAGTTCTGGACTGCGGTACCTGCAAAACTTTGAAGTTCGGAATTTTCTTCAGCTTTTCGAGAATTAAATAGAACAGGAAAAGAGTTCTAATGCTCGAGATATTCCTTTGCAAATTATTCAGAATGTTACCACAGCGTAACAACCCTTGGTGTCATCTGCTTGGAAGGTTCCCCGAATGTTCGCGCTAATCCAAAATCAGCAACTTTCAAACAGCCATCGTCAGTTAAGAGAAGATTAGAAACCTATAAAACTAATTCAAGCCAAATGAAAAACATATCAAGAAAAATTAAACAATAAACGCAAGAATTTTTCGGCAAATGTTTAGAATCGAATCTTACGAAAGTAGAAGTTAAAATGAACCTTCAAGTCTCGATGAACTACGTGTTTTCCGTGCAAATAAACCAGTGCCTTTAGCAACTGCATTACAATACATTTAATCTGTGGCTCTGTAAATGGCACTCGCATATTGTCCAACAGTGACGCCAAGTCATGAAATAGTTCACGTAAAATGCAAAACGGAAAGATCACACTCCATAGCCAGGAAAATTGTCATTCCTCTGACAATTAAAGTTACCTGAGTACAGTACTCCATGACCAGAAAAATTGAAGTTAATTGTTGCCCCACTACAATTTCTTTCAACTGCACGATATTTTTGTGATGCAAACTCATAAGCAGATGGATTTCACGAATTGCTGATATTGAAATTCCATTCTCTTCACTTTTCTCATCCATTCTTACTTTTTTTAGAGCAATCTAAAAGAAAAACCGAAAATAAATAAAATTTCAAGTTTAAGCTTAAATCTCAATCCCAATTAAAACTTCAGGAAGAAAACTAAATAAGATACAATCTGTCCAGTTTTCGTATCCTTGGCTCTATATACAATGCCGTATGTACCCTCACCAATACGATTCATTTTTTCGAATTCATTTACTGATCGACATCCTCCATAACCAATCTTGTCCTAAAAATATGACAGAATGATACTACAACCTTTCTATAAAGCATCTTTTGCTTAGATAACTTCTGAATTTCTATTCCTTAATAATGCCATTCCTTCTAGATGCTATGAAGCATAGAGAGAAAGCAAAATTTTGAACATCCTTCAGACAAATCAAACTCTAATTTAATAGCTCCACATTATTAAATCAACTAGCACAGCTACATTCAAACGCTCATAATGTTGGCATCACATATGACGTTTCCACAGGTGTAGTTCTCTAATTTTCTACCTCTCATACCAGAAAAAGTCATCCCGAGCAATCATAATACTTCCAAGCATTCTAAGCCTATCTTAATTGTCGCAATATTTTCAAAGAAGAAAAAAAACCTTTGAAAAAGTGATATTCTCCAAATCAAATATAGAAACAATTTGCGTCATTGACGATGAAGAACCCCTGTGGTGCGTCTCATCCCCCATCAAGCTGCAATATTAAATGCTAGTTTAACGGCAAAGATGAACGCTAATGAATAAGCCAATTCCGATACTTCTGAGCTAGTGAACACATCACCTACTCACTAGCTCGTTGCTTTCTGATCATTTAATTCTCTTCTTCACAGATGGAGAAGTTAATCCACGCTTGGAATTCATTCACTCTTACTCAGAAATCCAGCACAAAAATCGAAGAAAGAAACTTTCGGCGCTCTGTTACACACATCAAGAATCCCTCAGCAGCTAACTTTTATCTTCCAATAAGTTGCATTAAAAAAATTGAGAAAGCCAATATACTATTAACATCGAACACATAATGAGAAAAAGTAATACACGTTAATCTTTCTGCAGTATGAGTATGGACAATGTAAAGCAGAGTGAAGCAATGCTGTCACAATTCTACGCAAGGTCAACCCAGAAGATTTACTGAACTGATCCCGCCGGGAATGAGACTTCAAGCCACAGAGGGCATGTCTGCTTCAAACATCGTCCCAATCTCCTAACAGTTTGAGCTGTTATTTGCTTAAGTTATCACTTTGTACTTCCTTAAATAGTAAACACTAGAACGGAAGGCATACTTTTATAAACTCTCAATGACGTCAAATGCAACATGAAATAAAGCGATTCAGTAATCAGTCCAGTTCACTTCATCAACATATTTTCCTATGTCCACACTTCAGGAACAACACATTCCACATGGATCGCCCTGCCGTTCAAACCAACCAGCATCAGCGACACATATGAAGCGTCGGATCGACATTTCCTTTCACACATTCCCGAGCGTCACCCCTCAGTATGCACATGATCACTCACACCACAACACTTGTACACACACGTGACATTCCAGAGAAGCTTAGCGATGTACTGCGAAATTTCTAGGCACTTTACAAACATACTCTTCAAGCTCATTGCCTTCGTCCTTCATAATCTTTTCTGCTGATGACAATGACTTCTGTAAAGAGTACAGCGATGACTGTCGCACTACTAAAGCATGAGTAACGCGTATTATTTTTTATTCTCCAAAAAGCGAATAGAAATACAAAGGGTAAAATGAGTGCTGCTTCTCTTAATAAATAACACCGAAGATGGTGTAATAAATTGAAAGTAAAACTTAGGAAGGGGTACAATCAATTAGCAAGCTAGTAAAACAATTTGCAGCGAGATCTCCGATTCAGATTTTTGTTATAAAATACTTTCCGAAGATCTCAAAGGAAAATTAAAATCCAACGACGAACTAAACAAAAAAGAATGAATTGAGCTGAGCACTGCACATGACAAGGAAAGCATTCAAAAATTACATCATTCAAAAAACACGAGAATGCTGGTACGACTATTTTCACGTCCACATCTCAACTTCCAGGCAAAGAGTAACAAAACAGGAAAGAAGTGGCGAAACCACAGAAATTACAATGCAAAAATCAAAAAAACTGGGAGTGAGTCGACCAGATAAAGTTCTTTCGATCTCGTCATATATTCCGTGAAAACAACACAGTGAATTTTCCGCACCTGAATTATGACGAAATCAAGAAGCCACAAGAGTCATAAAAAAGCAAATTTTTACAACACCTTTGTAGAGATTGGTAGAAAGAAACAGTTTTCTTCGCTTCTACTACTTTTCGGCATCTCTTAAATTACAAAGAGTGAAGTAGTGGTTTCCAGTATGATAATGGACGATATTGCATCACCAGTTTTTGGATTTAGTTTAAATTTGACATATACATATAATTAATCGTTAAATCTGTCTAGAACGTTTAGGGAATGCATACGAGGCAGCGCTTTAGCACACTGAAGACTTTCTACTTTTTTCTTTTATTTTGCTTTTCTTGTTTATCAGTTTACTACTCCCAACCATTTGGTGAAGAATGAAAACGACCCCTTTCCTCGTTGCATCGTTACATAATCCGTCGTACACTGATCATTTCTTTCCTAGATACATTTGAAACATACTGTCAGAGGAAAATTTCATCCAAAGATCGATGAACTGATGCTACCACCATTCATGGTTGCTTCTGATTGCTTTCCAGTCATTAAACTGCCATTCCTCTTAGAAATCAATGATGTTGTCGGCATATCTGATGCTACCACATATAGTTGATGTGATCGCGCTTTCACCATAAATTCATAGCATTTATTGCACACACGCACATTCGCACCTTTATTTTCGTATACTCGAAAAAAGGTACGTTTTGAACACGACGAACAAAATATGCCTCCACAGTTCCTGGAAACAAATAATTTTGGTAACCAAAAATTTTAAGTACTCTGACATGAACAAAACAATAATTCGCAGTAGAATCAAAAGTGGTCAAGTTTCTAAGCCTATTTCAGCGCTCTGATTATGTCATTTAAGTTAGCCATTGAATAAAGAGAAACGAAGAGACTGACCTACAATGATGTCTTCGATTACTTAGATAATAGAAAGTTCCCTGGCAACTCATGCATTTTTGTGAAGCATCATCCATCAGCCACCCTTTCGAACCATATGAAATATCAGCAACATCGTCTTTTTCAACAACTGACATGTTTGAAAGTACTGATTCCACAGAACACGACGCACTGTTATTCTCACCGAACTTGAATTTACTGTTCTTTAGTTTATCACAGATTCTTCACTGAATTGCTCCAAACATAAAGAAGGGATGCCAAGAGCGTTAAAATCTTTTCGTTATAACTGGGCAGAAAACGAACTGACTGATGTAAGCATCAACTTACGATTAATAATTCCGTCTCAGGTGACTCGCCACTAATTCCACAATTCACTTTCCGCATTTCTTCCATTGTCAGTTGCTTAAGTCTCTCTTGCAACATATTGATACATTCCTGAACAAAAACAGAAAAAAAGTACACACTGCTTCTTTTCAAATACACTACGCACTTGATAGGAATTTCAAACCGAGAAATGCAAATCTACTTTCTTCAAGCTCTATTGGATAATGTCCCAAGCAACACCAAATAAACAAAGAACTACGTTTCAATTACAAAATAAAATACAACATAAGGAACAAACTTGCTTCTTTTTGCTTCTTTTTTCAGTTTAACCATTTTTATCGCAATATGAATAATGCTCTCAATATCAAAATATCAATATTTAAAATACATTAGACAATAGCATGACGAGCAACTGTTAGGAGCAACACGAAGGAGAAAGGCAAATTGAATACAGAGATTTTCAGACAAGTTTAAATTCATTCCCTTCACCCTAATCTTAATTCTTGGCTCGGTAATTACTTTCACAATCTTGATAAAGTGAAGTAAGCAGAGAACACTAGAAATTACTTACCTGTAGTTTTTCAACTTTTTCACGGGTCCTTTCTTCACGTATAACTAGAACTTTCGTCAAACCATCGCAATCCACTTCTCTCTGCAAAAAAAAAAAAATGCAAATCTTTGTGTGGACAGTGTAGGTTTCATCGGCGATATTTTGAGAAGACTAAAGATTCTATGAGTTAAGTGAACTGCCACCATTTATGTTTCAGTATTTTTGAAGATAAAAATTTACAGCGATAGCGCTGCGATCCCTTTCACGATACACTGCAAACGACAAGTCGTTTTCGTCAGGTGGTGCATAGTCCGTTTCACTTGAGACTGATGTTCGAATATTACTGTTATGGAATTGAGCATGTGCATTTCCAGCAAAACTGTAAGACAGATGGACAATTATATATTCCGAAAACCCATGTGACTGACCATCTAACGCAAACATAAAAAATTTTGAAGACAATGAAATATACTGATATATGTCTATATATCAGAGACATAACCATAAGTGACAATGAAAAATTTTGAGTGAACCACATTTTAGTACAAAAGTCATGACAGTTAAATGATAAAAGCATACGATGTATTTGATGATCCCTGGCATGTACCGGCGTCCGTATTAGAAAGACTTTCCGCAGAATGGGCTCTGTTCAAACTAATACGATCGACTTCACTATGCTGACTTGCAACCATCCCTGAGTTTGACAGTGTCTGCTCCTATAAAACGAGATATTAAACTCATTGCTAGGTAATAATACTGAAAACCAGTTACAACGCACCTAGCAAAATGCGAAGAAGTAACGAATGTTCAGTGTCTGAAACGATGAATTTAAAATTTTGATTTCCGATCAAAAATTCTTTACAAGTGTATAATTGAGTCATATGGCGGCAAAAAAAGATTAAACAATTAGACAACAAAACCGACATTAATTAGTCTTTCGATAGCGGGTCCAATGTAAAGTTGCTTCCAAATGTGAAGATCCTCAACATGCAAAGATGTATTCAATCTCTCATTGCTTTTTCCAGGATTATAAATAACATTTCCATATTCCGGTTTAGACTCATCCAGAAATGTCCAAAGCGAAAGTGTTTCTGCATCTTCTGAACTCTTATTCCAGTTTTCTCTCTCAAATTGACTGTTCCAAAGGAATGTCCCAAATAATCCAGAATAACAGTGAAGAGCTAATTTCGTCTAAAACACATAGACTGTTGCCGTAACCAGAATTGAGAATCACGTAAAGATTCTTGAAGCAGAAACAAAGTTTTGAAAAAAAAAACATAGAAATCATTAAACTATTCCTTTGTAAGTGCAAAAAAATATCAAGTACCATTAAAATATGTAGTTCATTTTATCCCAGTCAATATATCTTTTACTACTTCAAAAACATACATGCAAAAGTCCTTACCAAATAGCTTAAAGTGAACTGAAAGGCATCTGGAAATAACTGATGCAATTGATGAACACAGTCTAGCCACTGCAGAAAAACTGGTGATGATTCCCCACTGACGCTACTACGCGTACCTGTGCGATCAGCAAACTTGTGTCCGAAACCAATCCAATCGCGACGAATCAAGACTTTGAAGCCCTGAAGCATCACACCACAATTAAAAAGAAAAAACTAATGAAACTTATACTCACTTGTATTTGAAGTTCCTACCTCGAAAGTCCTGTAGTATGGATCAGCAATTATTTTTGTAAGAGTGACTATTTGTGTTGTCCGATCCCAACCATCCGTGCAATGAACAAGTACTGATCGACCTGTAAAAAAAATCCACTGATTTTAAGAAACAATAAGTAAATGGTTATTTTGATATCTACTTCTCAAATGTTAATTCATTTAGAGTTTAAAATTCTGCATATTTTATTACCTTCTATTTGAATCATAAAAAAGTATCAGTTCTTATGCGTTTCAAGCTTAACAAAATTATTGGGATCAAGTTTGCTAAATTTGCAAGATCAGAACTAACCGTCATCGACAAGTGCCTTTACACATTTCTGTGCGGTATCGATAAGACTTATAAGGTACTGCAACCAAAAAGTGGACTGAATTGATTGAAGGATGGTATTATGATCTTGAGGACCGGCAAGGACAGCTCTAAGCTTATGAAAGCTACTACGAATTTCGTGGATATTTGCCAATCCACAAAAGATGACCTCCGTTTGCTGATAATACTCTAAAAGCAGTGCATTCCCGATAATGACACATAGAATTCAATTCATTAGAAAATAGTAAATTTCATCCTATGATGTCAAAAATTTACAAGCATCAAACAAACCTTCTGACTCAGCTCCACCACCTTTTACTACTCGATTTGCAAGGGCTGCAGTATATGAACGGCAGTCCACTATTAACAATTTCCGAGACAGCGGTCCTGCAACTGTTTTCGCAAACCGGTAAATACAGTTTTAATATTTAAGTGGCTGGAAAATTGATATAAATTAAAGTTCTAACCATACAATATTTCGATAACACACTTACTTCCATTAACAGCTTTCCTAGCACATTCCAACAATTTTTCATCTAAGGGGAATCGATAGTTGAAAATACCACAACATGGTTGACTACTGCGTAATAAGACGGATTCATTTTTGGCGCAGCACCATACCGCGGCCGGGAATCGAGCATTATTCCGAGCAGCACACGCGCGCCGTAATTCATCATCCGTTATATCCTTTGGAACTATAACTGATTTCGGATATGTTGCACACAATCTGAAAAAAATCCAACTACTCTAAATGGAGAAATTTTTTTTGAAAGGCACATTCCTACCTCACGTTCATTTTGTTCAGTTTTTGATTCTTCGAGCACCTTTACTAAATTCCACGCATAAATCTGGTGGTTGGGAAATCTCAATTAATAATAAATGCGGAATGACCTAAAAAGCTTCTAAATAAGAACAAAAACATACGAATAATCAGTATTGGCTTCTGAAACTCTCCAAGAATGAGAGTTGTAATTGAGTCGCAGGAATTCTTTTTGTGCTAGGCACTCAGAATCAGCCGTTTCACGGTGAAATCTGAGCCAACTAGGAAGTTGAGTCTGAAACAAACAAACAAAATGGTTCGAAACAAATTTCGATGAAATCAATGGATAACAAGTTAACTCGGTTAAAATAACATCAAATCTGATAGAAAAAAATCGTAATATGAACCAAAATTCCTTCCTTTTGGTTTAGGTAACCATTATTCGCCACTCGTCCAAAAATTTATTCTATAGCTATGCATCAGTTTAATAATAACAAAAATCACTTTGTTACAAGATACCTTTGCAGCCTTGGCAAACTGCCATGCGAAAATATCATTTGTAGCAATATTATAAGTCGCTTTTTGCAATCTTTTATGCAGTTCCACTTGCACCTCACTTGCACATCTCAATCTTGAAAAAAAAAACGAATTGTCACCAAGGATTAAGCTAACTAAATTTCGCAATCATCAAATTTTTCTTAATATATCGTACAGTAAGCTAGATATTATTAATGCTTACCTCTAAGCAGTACCCCAAAATCAAGGATAAAATGAAGGCGTATGTCAATGCTAATTTCTCTTCGACTCAAGTAGCCCATACATATATTTTTATATTCATCCAATAAAATCTTCAATCTCCGTGATTTCAGTCAATAATACCTGCATGTTCGACCAAATTTGCATGTAATCTGTATTCCATACGGGTCTCCAGACCAGAATTCAACCGTATCAACACTCAAAAGTGGAATAATTGCCAAAGCATTTTTCAAACGATCGAGTATTACAATTCGATAATTTGTTATGTAAACAGTACCAGACCCCGTATCCATAGTTGATTCCAGTGATTCACCCGGAAGAGCATTGACCGGAAGAGCTTCTGATATTTTAGCCTGAACATTTAATGCTTTTTCTAAATACAATGGAATTTATAAAATGTAAAAAAGTTCATATCTTAAAGTTAATTTCACTAACGAGAAAAAAAATGTCAATATTTAAAAGCATTATTTTGTAACAAGAACATATTATATTTCATGGTAAATTTCTAAATTCGTAAATATTTATTAGTAAAACTAATCAAAGAGAAATGATATGAGAAGTAAAGCTTTACTTACATCACTAACTGGAAATAACCGCTCTATCCCTAAAATTCTAATTATCGCAGACAAAACCATTTCAAACAACATTCTCTTATGACACTTTTAGTAGAGTAATAATGAAATGCAGAAAAGTAAATGAGATATGGCGGGCAATATATTATTTGCGTACGACTGCCCCACCTTTTAAGAAATCTCAAAGAATAGGGACAAAAAAAAAAAACAAACAACATTATCCACTCATAACTGCTCCCAATTAGCCATCATTAAGCATGTTATATAAAAAACTTTAAAAAAAAAACAGTCTATCCACATCGATTTCCACAATTCAGTATTCTACGGCCCTTTTTTTTTATTTTTTTCACTTTGTTAAAGTCTTAACTCTTGAAAAGAGCGTATGTTAATAATGCAAGACATCGACATCTCATGTACCGGAAGAATACGTAATGGAAAAGTTGCTGTTGTTATAGAACTCCGTGATGAGTCATTATGTTTTATGGAACCTATTGTCTTAAACATATCGTCTGGAATGCAAAGAATAATGTGATCAAATGTGAAACTCACATAATGAGCGAAAATCGTTGCAGCTGATGGGCCATCATCATCCTCCACGCTTTGAGAATAATGCGACATATCCAAAAAGTATGGAGGATCTTCAACAGATTCGAGTGTATCGTTATCAATCACACCGCACGGAACAAAACCGTCTTCACCACGTTGTGCTCCAGCAGGAACTCGAATAGGAATTGCCTCGGATGCTGCTGGCATACTCCAGCCTTCTGGATGCTCAATCCGTAGAGCTACTAATACCACTACTGCTACTGTTACTGTTATCACTAACAGTGATATCTCTATCTACAGGTACGAATTTCCCGTCCAGCAGTTCAAAGATATAATCGCAATAAAGAATTATAAAGAAGCAGCTGTTAATAAGCCCGTAGCAACAACCAGTGAAATATGACGACAAATATTCACTTTCGTTGGGTACGGCAAAACTGGAATTTGAAAAGAAATGCTTTTTTTTCGTCCGAAGTACTATTGAAAATGATTTCGAAGTGGTGGAGAGTATATAACGACGTCCTTTTCGAGTACACTAAACCAGATCCACGTAAAGTAATCTGAAACACTGACAACATTCAACACTTGATAGAAATGAAAATATGCTCATCATACGTAGCCACAGAAAGTACTTGGAAAAATCAAATGGAATGCATCGCAGAAAACTGAGAACATGAAAAAGCTAAAACCCACCAGTTTCTCTGTACGACACTGAAAGCTGAATACTAGCACAACAACATTTATTAATAGCGAAGTTCACTATAAAATTCGATCACGCATATATCACCCTTGCTGTATTCAAGATTACTTTCAGTGGACCTTTGCACTTCACTCTAAAAGTTGGATCCTGTTGTACAACCAACTTAATCGTTTAACTGCTCTTTCTTCTACTTCATCACAAACAATATTCATACTTGCAATGAGCACACTATAAACACTTCATCACCGTTGAAAACCTTGTAGCAGCTATTCAAATGCACTGGAAACATCCTCTCACCCTTAACGAGCAAAAAAAAGATAAAAAGATAAAAGTGGGTGGAACGAGGGGACCTGATAAGTAAGATGGGCGAAGAGTCAAAAAATGCACCCAGTTGCAAAAGAAAAAGCTATTCTATGAACGGTGTCACTGTCATAACAAACAAGTTCTAATTAAAATACCGATCGATCGATTCACTTCCGCACTGTTAACCGCGAAGCAGTAATAGAGCGCATAATTGAACCTAATTTTTGACTGGGAATCATGAAATCAGTTTAGTTCTACTAAAATTTGTGGGAGGGCAATAAGGGATGAAAGGGAAGTGCATAGCAAAACGGAGCAGTGCACATTGATTGATACACAAACACTCTTTTAGTTAGACATCACAAAGTGAATAATTTAGAGATGAATTGCGAAGATGTATATTGATGAGACCGATAAATACCCTCCACACCAATGAATGAGCAACCAACTAACAACATAACAAACACTGTTCACTCAGTCGAGAAGATGACACGGAAATCGTATGACGAACTATCTGGGATGACGATCCCGAGTTTTAGACACTCCTTACTAGCTGGAAGTGGTTGACGCTTACTTGGAGGAACAAGGAGACATCATCGATCCCTGTGTCCAACAGCTACTGCGGGAATGATATCAGCTAAGCCGCGACACATCCACACCCACGCATACGCACAACATTATTTACATATACAATAGTGCAACAGCGGCACTCATCTGTTTGAAGTTTTTAATTTCGCGTGTTTGCCTCTTTTCGATGATCAGTGAAGTGACAAGCTGCGATCAAAGGGATAACGCGAGTGTTGCATGCCGCAGACTGCATTTCATCTCTGCTCCTCTCCCCTCCTCCCTAACACAATCTCTCCCCTTTCTTTCTGCCTCTCTGCATATCGTATCGTATCGTTTTTGGACGACAGACAAACGAAACGGAACTCCTCTCTCAACAGTCCAAAACTTTGCACTGTCTGCACACAGTTGCACTCTCGTCATTATTGGTGATAGACAATACCGCCTCTCCAGACTGCACTTCAAGGAGTGAGGGATTGACTCCCTCCCATCACACGTCCATCAGAAGTGAAGTAGCCCTTCTCTCTCTCTATCTCTCTCTCTCTCTCTCATGCTTCCTACCAAATAAAGGATGTATGTAAAGATAAGACCAATCGATGTATACTTTCTCACCTGAAATTATCAATAAATATGAGGTTTTACTCACCTGAAGGTTAAATCAGACCATACAAAATTCTGTGGCAATACTGTCCCAAAAGACAAGTTACTCTGAAGAAAAACATCGAAAAACCACTGCTGATGCCGAAAAGAGAAAAACAATGAAATCAAAACCATGCCGATATAAACGGATACAAGTGGCGGTTCTGTCAGGAATGTGAGGGAACTATCGATGGGGAAATACACTCAGGTTGCAGTAATAGAACATTGAAATACGTGAGAGAAACTGGAAGAAAGTAGAAATGAAAAAATGACATTTCAGAAGTAACTCGACTGAGAAATTCGATTGCGTCCAGTATCTGCTGATAAAAACGATTGTACCGAAGGACTTGGAAGACATCAGAAGATCGCCGGGAATAGGTGTTAGAAGAGCGGAGGAGATGGTTGTTAGAGCGAGAAGTGGAACCCAAAACCGTGAACGTTTCTCTTCGTGACCGTTCCAGCTGGAAGTGAGTGGGTCGGAAACAGTGAAGTTGGAAGACGTGGAGCACGTGATATCTTCCATACAGTGCTTCACTGACCCGAAATGTGCCCGGGATCCGGACGTGGTACAATGCTGGTAACGGAGATAGTTTAGACATTCCCAGAGATGAAAGCTTATCATTGAACTGCTTAATATTATCACTCTTGAAACTGCACTCATTTGGTCACATCTCTAATTTAAAGGAGAAGTGAGTTGGTAGATGGTTGCGCCTTAGGTCAACCGCTTCCTAAAGGTTGTTTGATTAACGGCGGATGTGTTAAGCAAACATAATGTCCATGGGAATGGGGATCGAGATTGTTTTGGTACAGGGACTTTCTCCAGAACAGGTTAGGTAGACTGTTTCGTCTGGTTATAATAGATCGTGCTGCAACACATGCCGGTACCGGGGTGCAGCCAGTCACAGCTGTCTCCAAGGTCACTTGCACCCGCATA